TTGACTGTAGTGATGTGAATTATTGTGATGTTTTCATCAGCTGTTTGGACCCTCATTCTGACGGCACCCATTCACTAATATAATGCTAGATTTCTGTAAATCTGTTCCCATGAAGAAACAAATTCTTCTATATCTTGGAAGTCCTGAGGGCGGGTAAATTTTCAACACATTTTCATTTTCAGTATCACCATTTCAGTAAGCTTTTATAGCTCGATGCAAATTTGTTTCATTAGTTCATTGTACAGAGTTTCCAATTTCTGTTCCCAACTTGTAAAAAGGTCAGTTTTTAGATTGCTCCGTTTTCTATATGTAGACTGCTTTTGGCAGCTGTTTGTTAGTGATGTAATAAGCAGCATTTCAATATGCAAGGGTATCGCTGCTTAATGTAAATATTCAAGTACTTTATTTTGAAACTTTGAATGCATAAAGACATTTGAGAACTGTACTTTTGGGTATTTGACACGTGACATGACCTGTGCATTGGTCACTGCATCTGTTTGGATGAGAGATTAGGGTTTATGTAAACTTGAGGCCTGTGGGCTTTTATTGGTGTGTTTTTGATGGTTTATAACTGTAACTAGAGTAAGCTCAATGTTGGAGTAATTCTAGTGGTTCTTGCAACCGCATCCTCTGGTAGTGAAGTGGACAAGCATCTACGTTGTGCATTTCTGTTCCCTCATAACCATCTGGACTGAGAGGTAAGTCCATTTTGCCTTGAAAATCTTATAAAAAAATGTTTTAGACCAGAGCATTGCAGCTTGTGTTTACAGCTAAAGTTTATTCAGGTCTTGCTTTTGGCTGATCTTCTCTGATGCATTTTCCTCCATTGTTCATTGACAATTGAAGTAGGTCGGTCCACATATATAAATATTTGCACTAGATTCATGACTGATGTGGGCTACCTGATGTAATATATTCATTTTTACTATTACAGAATATTTTTGCCAATCAATAAATTTTTTCACACTAGATTTGTCTTTTGTTTTGTTGTCCCCATACACATTTTCTAAATATGAAGTCCCATAGACGCAGAAATTAGTATTTTAATGCTTGTAATTGTAAATTTTGTTTTGAATTTTAAATGTTTAAAGTAGAATAATGATTGCTTCCAGTAATTCTGAGAGTAGTTTCCAGTCAGGAAAATTTTATTTAATAGGCTATTACAATGTAATATCAGTATATAGGTGAGTGAAGTGAATAAAGTACTGTGCTTATGTATAACTCTGAATGGCCGTATGGGGGCGCCACTGAAACCCTTATAACAAGGCTTAAACTTTCAATTACATGATTTGACCAGCAGCGGTCATGTTTTCTTGTGAACTGAGTGCCTTGTCCTTAAAGGGTTACTCCACCCCAAATTGAAAATGTCATTAATCACTTGTAAACCCCTATGTAGTTCCAAAACCGTAAAAGCTTCGTTCGTCTTTGGAACACAATTTAAGATATTTTGGATGAAAACCGGGAGGCTTGTGACTGTCCCATTGACTGCCAAGTAAATAGCACTGTCAAGGCCCAGACAAGTATGAAACACCTCGTCAAAATAGTCCATCTGCCATCAGTGGTTCAATCTGAGTTTTATACAAAAACAAAAATAACGACTTTATTCAACAATTCGTCTCCTCCGCGTCACCGTAGTGCCATTTTAGAGAGTATCCACTGAACGCAAACGGTGTATGCTGTTCTGTTTCAGCCGCACTTCACGGATACGCTGTTTTAATTCAAATCAGTGTAAATAAACGTAGAAAACATAACCGTGTGGAGTTGGACTCGTAACCCAAAGGTTGCGGGTTCGAGTCTCGTACCGGCAGGGATTGTAGGTGGTGGGAGTGAATGTACAGCGCTCTCTCCCACCTTCAATACCACGACTGAGGTGCCCTTGAGCAAGACACCGAACCCCCAACTGCTCCCCGGGCGCTGCAGCAAAAATGGCTGCCCACTGCTCCGGGTGTGTGTTCACGGTGTGTGTGTGTTCACTGCTGTGTGTGTGCACTTTGGATGGGTTAAATGCAGAGCACTAATTCCGAGTATGGGTCACCATACCTGGCCACATGTCACTCCACTCCAGTAGATACTCTCCAAAGCGACGCGGAGGAGACGAATTGTTGAATAAAGTCGTTATTTTTGTTTTCTTTGTGTACAAAAAGTGTTCTCGTTGCTTCATAAAATTCAGATTGAACCACTGATGGCAGATGGACTATTTTGACAAGGTCTTTCATACTTTTCTGGGCCTTGACAGTGTTATTTACTTGGCAGTCAATGGGACAGTCACAAGCCTCCCGGTTTTCATCCAAAATATCTAAAATTGTGTTCCGAAGACGAACGAAGCTTTTACGGGTTTGGAACGACATGGGGGTAAGTGATTAATGACAACATTTTCATTTTGGGGTGGAGTAACCCTTTAAGTATTTGTTGAAACGCTTGAATGAAACCTGATCTCTGGATATGGGTCAGGTAAACAACTACACAAACCACTTTGTTTCGTTGCTTTGCACTTTTTCATCCTTTCTTTTCAAAACACTTTAAATGTGAGCTATTTTTCATACTGAAGCCACTATTTTTTCTTTTTTTTTTAAAGGGATGCTGTTCTTGTTCAAACAGGTTTTAACGTTGAATTCTTTCTAATCGTGAGTGGGATGTTCTAGGGAAGTAGGCTGAGGGTGTAATGAAAATATGGGTGTGAACATTGTTACTGAGATAATGTTTCTCTGCTATAATTACACCTCGAGTAAATTCACGTAAATAGGCGTCCATCCATCCTTGCGGTTAATGCACTTCTTTTTCTAGATAGGTGCATTTGCTCATTTAGTTCGTTATAAGCTGATGTGCAGGCCTAAAAACACTACACCAACATGAAGCTCTATATATTCCCAGGACCTACAGCTGGGCCTGCTGTAACAGGTCTGTACTAGTATGGAGATATCTTCGTGTAATCTGGTAATTTTGTCTATTGCGATCACAGCAAGTGTTTCCTTAAAGTAAGAGTGCAGGCGTGTTCCTCTGTAGAAGATCATCTAGAATTAAATGCCCTCATTATGAAACACACAGAACCTTTCCAGCTGACAAAAATATGTTCTAAGAACGTTTTGCTAATGTTCCAATTGTTATTGAAAACATTACTTCTGAATGTTACAGTAAATGTTTAGAAGCTACATGTTGTTTTTGGTTATACAAATGTTAAGGGAACATTCTATTTCATTTTGCAAACGTGGGAATGTTACTTTAGACTTTAGAGTGTTCTAAAGACGAACATTCCAACGAAAACGTTTCAGAAAAATGTTCCATAAATGATGTCGAAATAATGTTTTTGTGCTAAAGTTTTGAGAACATTATTAAATAATAGCTTTGAACAAAGTTTAATGTTACTGGAACATTGAAAGAACCTTGCCACAACGTTCTCAAAATGTTTCCCCCAAAAAAGTTTCATGATGTTTTTGTGCTAACATTTTGAAAATGTTATTAAAGACCAGATAACATTAAACAAACATTCTATTAACAATACTGAAATACATCTTTGAGTGAACCTTGCCAGAACGTTTTGAGAATGTTTCAGAAAAACGTTCTGGGAATGTTTTGGTGCTAACGTTTTGAGAACATTACCAAAGACCAGATAACTTTGAACTAATGTTCTGTTAACATTACTGGAACATTGAGAGAACTTTGCCGCAACGTTCTGAGAAGGTTTCCTGACCATGTAAATAACGTCCTAGAGGAACAGACTCGAGGAGGCCATTTGGTCAGCTTCATTTTCTAAACTTGATTATGAGATAAGTAGCCTAATAACTAAGATGACAACGTTAAATAGTAGCAATATAGTGCCAGTAGTATTCAGAGTATGTGTTATATTAACTGAATGGTCAGTTTCTATTGTCTTGTGGCCCCACAACTTTGTACGCTGTTTTTATTGTCAGTAGCTGTTTGGAATTCCACAATGATTATCATGAAGGTCTTTTGCATTATGTGGTATTCCAGTTCTCACTTTATCTCCGATTGTTTGGCTTGCAGACAACGCAATGGAAAGAAAAGAACAACAACATTCAGGGAGCAGACAGTTTTCAGATTAGATGAGAAATGTGCTTTTGAACAATGCAAAACATGTTAACATATTCAGTAACTTCACTGCTAACAGGAAGTGTTCTCAGAACTTTATGGCAAGTTTCTCTCAAAGTTATGAAGAAATGTTACAGGAACATTAATAGAGTGTTATCTGGTCTTGAATAATGTCAGCATGAAAATGTTATGTTTCATAGATCTTTTTTTCTGAAACGTTTTAGTTGGATGTTCACTTAACGGTTTTTACATGTTACTGCTTGTTTTAGAACATTTAGAGAACATTCACAAGTAATGTTCCCATAACATTTGCAAAAATATAAAATAGAATGTTCCCTTATCGTTCGTATAAGAAGAATTTTTAAAACATTTAAAAAAACAGGATGTTAAGAAAACATTAAAAAATGACATTTTCATAAACGTTCTTAGAACATATTTTTGTTAGCTGGGTTTGCAAGTGCAAATTTATCGTCTTGAGGGCAGACAATATTTAGAGAGGTAAAACTCAGTTTGAACAAGTTATTAATGGACAAGCTGAGTTATGCGAGGAATAATAATAAGTGCTCTGTTGAGTACTTGATGCATATGAATTATTTAATCTAGGCATCCATCAACACATTTAGGGTCTATTTAACACTTCTATATGTATTTTCTGTCAGTAATGAAAGCCACTTTGGTTTTCTCAAAAACGTATGAATTTTTCTCAAGCAGTGGTTCTAAATATAGCTAGTGAGAAAAAATCATTAAAACCGACTAGTCCTGAATGAGGAAGTGTAAAGCCAAAGGCTTTCAGTTTTCGTGTAGAAAGTGTATTGAGTGGTTGTGTGTGGAGTCACACCCAGTTCACACACACATGCTTGTGTCTCCAGAGGCGAGAGAGAGAGAGATAACGCATGAGAGGAGAGAGAGAGAGAGGGCGAGAGAGAGAGAGAGAACGCATGAGAGGAGAGAGAGAGAGAGAGACATAACGCATGAGAGGGCGCTGCTGCGGCTCGGAACATCTTCACCCGGCGTGATTCATGATCAAGGTAAGGCGAGATATTCTGCTTGCTTCTGTTTAGGAGCCAAATGGAGCTTCACTTTTCAATCCCGGATGTACCGTTATGAGAGAAAACGCGTCGCGTCTGGTTGACGCATCTTTGAGAAGGAGAACGTGCTCCATGTGTTTAAACCATGACAGTCTGGATGCCTTCACGTGTGCTTTGATAACCGATTGATGGTGTTTCGGATCTGGATTCTTGTAGAGTGAAGGATGTAAAATCTACCTATCGACCCGGAGCAGCTCTCAACCCTGTCATTATACAGGAGGACGCGTTTTTGTTGCGTTCCATTTGCGGTGCGTCATACTGGCGTCTTTTACCGCTGCGTTTTAAGATGGTGTGTCAAGAAGTAAAACTTTGAACATCAAAGCGTTCTGTGCTTGCGACGCGGGTCTGTCGGCGGAACGCTGGCGAAACGGACGCGTCATCCTAGTCATCCCACTAAATAATCCTAGTGGTCTTGTTTCTTGCTGTCTTTTCTGGTCACATCAGTGTTTAAATGTTCGCTGCCGTGGCGGGTGAAGCCGAAGCTTCAGTTCAAATGTTCCAGTGTAGCACAAATGATTCTTGAAGTGTTGAGGTCTGGCGCGACCGAATCGTTCTTGCTACATTGTTGCACTTGAGCGTGAATGTTTTCCGGGTTGTGTTTCATTTCAGGATCAAAGGAAAAACCATGTTCTGTAATGTGTTTAAAATTCATTAACTGTTTCAGTGCCAACCAATTAGTTTAACAATTAATATTTTTGCTGAGTAGTCCCAGCTAACAAAATATGTGCCAAGAATGTTACTTTTGAATGTTCTCTGAACATTCTGAAAAAAAGTAATAACGTTTTAAAAATGTTAGACAAACGTCCAGACAAAATTTCAGGGAAAAAAGTTCCTTGAGCGATGTGTACATGGTTTGTGTGTTAGCGTTCTGAGATTATTATTAACGTTGAACAAATCTTCTGTTAATGTTTCTAGGAAAACACATTTCAGGGAAAAAAGTTCCTTGAGCGATGTGTACATGGTTTGTGTGTTAGCGTTCTGAGATTGTTATTAACGTTGAACAAATCTTCTGTTAATGTTTCTAGGAAAACATTTGTTCATAACATTGCCAGAATTTTCTAAGAATGTTTTTTGAACGTTACTTTTGAATGTTCTCTGAACATTCCGAAACAAGTAGTAACATTTCAAAAAAGTTAGACGAACATCCAGCATACGTTCCAGAAAAAAAAATTCTTGAATAGATGTATAAATGATGTTTTTGTGCTAACATTTTGAGAATAATATTAACTTTGAACAAATGTTCTATTATGTCTACTATCAACACGTTCAGAGAACTAGGGCTTCGGGGTGGACATGTTTTTGAAGGGTTTTGTAGGAGGGTTAATGTACCGTAAATTACACTACTAAATTATCATTCATTAGTTGATGCCTGAAGGTACATTTGCAGCAGTAACAACATCAAACAGAGACTGTTCAATATTCAACAACATACTCTCACATACCACTGTATAGAGCGCTGAAGTACAGTAGAGAGTAGAGACATGCCAGCATGTGCATAACACTTTGCAACCTTACTGAGCTAAACATGACGCCTGGACCTTGATACTGATACTGCCGGAGACAGACAGATAGATTGACAGACAGACAAGGCCATCTGCAGACAGATAGTGAGCCGTGCTTATGCTACCCGCCTGTTGCTCGTGTCATTTGGAACCAGTTTCTTATAATAGTGTTGCATGGAGGGAGTTTCTAAACTAGGCCTGGTACTAATGCACTTGTTTTTGGTGAATAGATCTATGTGTAACCTTCAGTTTGATCCGTGCGCTCCATCTGATCACACTCCAGCAGCATGAGATCAGTACGAGAGCTGAAGGCGAGGATGTTGATATTAGCGCTGGTTTGATGATCAGCAGCAGGCCTTCTTGGGTCACACTGAGAGCGAATGAGGGGGCGAACGGAGGAGCGGTGTATTTACACACATGAATCTGCAGTATTCACTGTTAAAACAGACACAGTATTAAACAAACCAGACATAAATCTCGCATCTACTGTACACTGTGAAGGCATTGTGATATGTGTTGATGCGTATGCATAGCTGACAGGAGCAAAGCAGGTCAGATTCAGCACTCATTTACACAATCAAATACTAAAACCTAAAATTGAACCAGAGTTATTATAGTTAACTAATTAAAACTAAAACCAGAAAAAAATGTTAACTGAAAGAAAATATAAAGAACTTAAATAAAACAAAACTTCAAAAAAAATCCAAATATGAATACAAACTATTTAAATGATATTTGAACCAGGGTTATATATAGTTGATTAAAACTAAATTAAAACTAAAACCATAACATATATATTAATAACATAACAACAATAAATAAATAAATAAATACAAATTTGCTAAACTGAAAAGAAATAACACACAAAATATTACTGAAAGTTGAACTAAAATTAAAATCAAAACTAAAATATAAAATTAACTACAAAAAAAAATATATATATATAAGTATTTAAATCATACTAAAATAACTAAAAATACAACTAAAATAAAAACTATATAGAGATATAAAAAATAAAAATGAAAAAAAAAAACGAATTAAAAATATGAATAAAAACTACAATCATATTTACATGATACTAAATAACACTAATTTTGTTTCTTCAGTAAGTGTAAACCTGGATGGCCTGTAGTTATGAGCTGAGGATGTAAATCCAGTCCTAGTTTTATCATTGCACTCATGCAGCAGCTTCTATATGTACATTACACAGTTCTCCTGTTCTCTTTTTACTCATAATAGAGTTTGTAATCATTTTAACTGTGTATTTCCCTCTGGACTGGGCTATAATTAATGTGACTTGGAACTGCTATTTATACTACAGGCCTAATTAGCCAGAACCACGTCTGACAGAAACACTAGACTAACAATCCACTCCTGCCCTATTAAACAGGTGACTTATTGATTTTTTTATTTATAGAAAATAGCCATTCAGTCGTTCGTTCATTCAGCTCAATGTTTACTTTCTCTGAAGAAAGCGTGAGTGTTGAGACGTTAATCCCTCCTTTAATATAAATTTATGGGATTTTTCACCTGCTTTATTATGCAGATCATGAGGATAAAATCAGATCGGTTAATGTACAAAACTAATAAAATACCCGAGTAGATTCTGCTGTATTTTTAATTATACAATCTTAGTTTAACAATAACTGAGCAATATTGACACCACAACTAATTGTCATAAAAACAGACTTCCGCCCCTTATATTACATAATTTTTTACAAATAAAATTATAGATACCATTGGTTGATGTCTTTATAATATATATGTATATGTGTGTGTGTATATATCTATCTATATATATATATATATATATATATATATAAACCCTAGTTTTTGATTCTTGAAGAAAATATTAAAATGTATATCAAGATTATTGTTCATTTGGACCAGTGTTATTTCACTATATTGAAGTTTTTATTAATATTTTTAATCTCTTGTTATTTTTATGTTTTCCATTTTAATTTTAGTTACTTTTTAGTATTTTGGTGTTTGTTTGCCATTTTTAATAGTTTTCTAATTTATATGTCTATATAGTTATTTTAAGTGTTATTTTTATAAAGTTAAACTAAATTAAAATGAGAAATGTTGCCTTGGCAATTAGCTGAAATAGGTTTTTTATAACGTTTATTTTCATTTTAAGTAGCAATTTATCATTTTAATTTTAGTTTCAGTTTTAGGTAACTATAATATGATTCGGACCAGAAGAAAACCATTAAAACTCTATATGCAGTTCTATATGCATCTCTTAATGTATTTCTGTCATTTTAGCCTACAATTTTTAGCCCCTGAAATATTTTTATACTTTATAAATATGTATCTATTTTATTTATATCACTGTAGTTCTGAATGTACTTTGACTTTCTGTCTGTTATATATATATACACACACACACACACACATATATGTATAATTTTTTATTTTTATGAATTTGTTCATTTATTTTTTTAGTATTAATTTTTATAATATTTTTACTGATTATGCTTAGCAAAGCAAGGTTGTTTTTTTTGTGAGTGTCCCATATACCACATATGCCTCAGTTTCTTGTAGAAAAATGTTACTTGAAAGTGATGAATGTGCATGTTTTCATGTAACACAATAGATCCATAACCTCAAACAGTCATGCTCACTCCTCTGGATGTGGCCCAATTTCATCTTTAGTGTCTGCTAGTGCTAAAATGCTTCAGGATTTAATGATTTTGACTCAGCTGATTTATAAGAATGTGTATGATTTACAGTAACCTCAGGACATGGCAGTCATGGTATAGAGCGCATTTTTAAGTGAAGCGTCCGTCTGTAGCCTCAGGTGACTGTTTCTTTGTTTGCTTGACTTCATGTCTGGAGGCATCTTGAAGCGCTGCATTCTCTGATGTCAATCTGTTTACAGTGGATGGGTGAGGCGAGGCCACGCTGTGAATCGAGGATGTTGTGCAATTTCCTTTGGCATGACGTCAAGTTGGTTTCTTTTTAGAAAGGATTTAGGACCATCCCTAGCCGTACGTTATGATTAGTGCACGAAAACTAAATTTGTACGTACTGATTAGTGAACAAAAACTTTTTTTGAACAAAAAAAAAGTTTTACTTACTGTAAGATTAGTGTATGAAAACATTTTAAATACTTTAAGATCAGTGCATGAAAACATCATTTTTACTTAGTGCACTAAAACATGTTTACATATTTTAAGATTAGGGCATGAAAGCATTTTACATACTTTAAGATTAGTGCACAAAAATAACATTTTACATGCTAATTAGTGTACATAAACAATATTTCATATACTAATTAATGCACAAAACAGCATTTTACATACTTTAAGATTAGTGCACGGAAACATTTTTACACACTAAGATTAGTTGCGAAAACCACATTTTATTTACTAATTAGTGCACAAAACAACAAGTGTTAATGCAAGTGTTTGTCTGTGCATAAGTCATCTGTAG